TCTGTCCCCGCCTCTCTCCCTATCCCCCTCACCCAGTCTCTGGATGGTTTCAACCTATATATGTACGCGGTCGCCTTGAAAGAGATGGAGCCGTACCTAGTCCCTCGGAGGAACACAACACCATCCTCGGCCGCTGCAGCCGAGGTGGCGTGAACGAGGGAGGGGGGAGGGGCGTGGGAAGCGGAGGGGGCGGGGGAGGGGAGAGGGAAACGGTCGCCTCGGGGGCCGCAGCACTTAATCGAGAGGGGGTTTGCGGGGAGGAAGGGCAGATGCGTCGGCCGAGGTCTGTTCTCCCTCCCTCCCTCCCTCCCTCCCCCTTTCCCCCCCTTTTTCTATCCGCCTTGCCTCGTTTATTCCACTCCCTTTGCCTGTTTCTGCTCTCTCCCTCATTCCCATCCTCCCCCCCTCCTGTCTGCTGCCAGCGCCAAGAGCGTCTTGGTGGAAGCCGTGCTCGCCTACCCCTACAACTGGAGCGCTTGGTTGGATCTTGCCGAGGTCCTCTGCGACGAGAAACAGCACCAGCAACGTCCGGAGGAGGGGGCGGGCGAGGGGCAAGTCGGAGGCGCCCCTGCGTGGAGGGGAGGAGAGGAGGGGGGATGGGGGTGCAGGGGGGGCAAAGAGGGGAAAGAGGGGAGGGCTTCTTCTCGGAGCAAGTACAAGGACGCTTGTCCGCCTTGTGGATGTACGATTTCTTCCAGGTCAGAAAGGAGGGCGGAAACGAAAGAGGGTGGGAGGGAGGGAAAGAGGCGGAAAGAGACGCGTCAGGTCAGTGACCAAGGATCCCTCTCCCATGAACAGGCCCACCTGCTGCTCGAGCAACACCAGAGCGAGCACGCCCTCTTTCTCCTTCGCCGTCTTCTCCACGTGTTTCCGACCTCCTCTTACCTCAAGGTTTGGCGCCTACCATCCCTGCGTGCTTTTGTCCACGTGCCTAATCGACCCTCTCTCCCTCCTTCCTTTCCTTCCTCCTTCCCCCTCTCTCTTCCTCCCACAGGCCCAATGTGCCATCGCCCGCTACAATCTTCGAGATTTCGAGGAAGCCCAGGAAGGCTTCCGGGCGCTTCAAGAGCAAGACCCTTACCGACTGGAAAACTTAGAAAGGTGAGACCCAGAGAAGAGGGGGAAAGGGGAAGGAGGAGTGGGGAGGAGCACATTCAGGTGCCTTATAGCCCAACCCTAACAGTGACTTTTACCCTAACCCTAGCTCACACACGCCTTTACTCCTTCCCTTGTTCGCATCACTGCCCACAGGTATTCCGACGTCCTCTACGTGAAGGAAAGCCGGGCGGAACTCTCTCAACTGGCCCATATAGCTGCGCGCAACGACAAATATCGACCTGAGACCTGTTGCATCATCGGCAACTACTACTCTTTAAAGGTGCGCTCCCCCTCGGTCCCTCCACCCCGGCTTTTGCTCTCGTTGGCATGTTTTCCCACCCTTCTCCAGGCTTCGTGGCGCCGATCGTGTCCGTCTTGGGTTTTTGTATGCCGTCGATTCATAAATGTCGGAAGTTCATCCCTATTTCCCTCCTTGATGCCCTTCTCCCCCAACCTGAAATCCTGGATATTAGGGTCAACATGAGCGTGCTGTCTTATACTTCCAAAGAGCCCTTAGACTGAACCGAAAGTTCCTGTTTGCCTGGTAAGAAACTAGGAGGTGGAGGCAGGGGGGGGATGAAGAGATAGAGGGTCGATACCCAAGTCATCCTGTCGGTCGGACAGGACACTCATGGGCCACGGTTTCCTTGAGATGAAGAACACGGGGGCGGCTATTGAGGTAAGAGGCGTGAAGGGGGAAGGAGACAAGGGGGATATAGAGAACGAGAAGTCAACGACACAGCAAAGCACAGCCCTTTCTGATCGGTCGAAAGCCCCCTCCGTTCTCCATCAAGCCGTTTTGCACGCCTCTGCTCAGCCACGGCTTTCCAGTGTCTTTTGTAACATCCATTTCTACGTTTACCTTCATGAAATTCAAACCTCATTGATTTTCGAAGCCTAAAAGCCCTATTATGGCTCCTGTGAATTCGTCCTTCTTTCCTCTTTTGACGCAAGCCCAAGTCTCTTTTCTATCCACGGGTCCCACCCTCTCCTATTCTATCTAACACTGAGAAGAGGTTGCTCCCTCCCCACTCGATTTCCTTTCTCGGACCTACAAATGACGGCGTTTAAACACCGTCTCTTGCAAAAGGGCTATCCAGATTCTCTCCTATCCCCGCTGTTTTTTGTCAATCTGCATGGCGTTTGATCCTCCCCACCCGCCGCACGTCACCCTCGTACGCGTCTTTCATCGGAAGGCCTTCCTCTATGTTGTGTGTTTCCAACCTTTTCTCAGGCGTATCGCCGGGCCGTGGACATCAACCCCCGCGATTATCGGGCGTGGTACGGGCTAGGTCAAACGTACGAGCTCCTGCAAATGTACCTTTATGCCATATATTACTACCGAAAAGCGGCGACCCTCCGTCCTTTCGATGCGCGCATGTGGTGTGCTCTCGTAAGTGCCCGCGAGAGCAGTATGTTGGGAGGATGGTGGCTTCTCATGCGGTTAGGGGGGCCTTTTGCGGACATTCCTATCATTTGCTTCCGCTTTCCCCTTCTATGTTCTCTTGACCATTCTTCAAATTCCTGGGTGTAGCGGGACGTAAGCTGTCTGGCAGAAGCATGATCTCGTGCGATGGCATCTTTTTGGGACGTATCAGTATCCCCCCACCTACTGAATTGTGGGCCACCATCTCACACCTCTTTACTATGGCTCACTCCCCCCTTCTCCTCCCCTTTCAGGGTGTCTGCTACGAACAATTGGACCGACGCAACGAAGCCATCAAGTGCTACGAGAGGGCTGTGTGCAACAACGACAGGTTGTAAACACTAATATCTTTTAGTTGAAGACAGCGCGAGGGAGTATGCTATAAAGGGGGAGAAAGGGATGATTGAATGATACTTGTTTGAAATATTTTTCCTTTTTTCGAATATAATCAATTTGTATTCCCGTGTGCAGCGAGTGCTCAACTTCCTCACTTTTTCTTCCCCGCGCACTCCTTCCATGTAGGGAGGGAATCGCCACAGCCAAGCTCGCCCGCCTCTACCGCGATGATCAAGACGAATGGAAGGCCGCTCGCTGCTACCAGCGCCACTTAGAAGCACGCCAAGGGTATCAGGTGAGGAGAACGCGGAGACGTAGAATGAGTAGACGATAGAAAGGGTTCGCGCGAGTGACAAAAGTTGACCCTTCCTTGACTGTCTCCTGCGTGATCCCAACCTGAAAGAAAGTAGAGAAAGATACGGCGAGGAAAATATAACGTCACCGCGCCAGAAGCTTATGCAAATGTATGGATGATAAACTTATATTCAACTGGGGTACACTCTTTCCGGCCTTCCATCCCCCTCTCGAGCAGACGGACGGAAGCACCGATACGGTTGACGCTCTCCTATTCCTCGCGCATTATCACAAAAGGAGGCACGACCTCCACACTGCCACGCTTTACTGCAACCGCCTGTTGGATATGGGAGGGCGGGTATGTGAGAGGACAAAGAGGGACGGAAAAAGACGGAAAGATAGAGGAGAAAGGAGGGACAGGGTCCGACTGACGTTCTTTGGGCATCATGACAGGAGCAAGAAGAAGCGAAAGCTTTGCTTCGAGAAATCCGCAGTATGGAAGGTCAAGAGGAGGAAGAAGAAGAGGAACGGCGACGGAGCTTCAGTGCATTTCCAGTCTTCGATCATGACGAGAGCGCTAGTCTTCCTTCCTTCTCCTCGGATTTATCACCAGCAGCCGTTACCTCGCCGTCTCATAACAGCAGTGGTACTCGGAGAATGACAAGGCAACAAGCAGCAGCGGCTGCAGCGGCTGCAGCGGAGGCCATGCGTAGTGGAGAAAGAAGACGGGCGGACGTGGGATCTTCGCCTGAATGCTAGCGTGGCTGACGGAAAGGGGAACGACCACGGAGTTATGCCTCCAGGGAGCATTTGTTTCCAAAAAGTGGAAACATGACACGGTGTGAATAATTCTCCGAATAATTCTCGTCAAGGCTTTCGTAGGTGATGCTTATGAAAGAGAAACGAGGCTGAAGGGGAAAAGGACGATGGTCTGATCTTTGACAGATCAAGCTTACAGCTCGCTCGAGCATAAAAACGGATCATTAAGAATCTGTCTCATTCAGATGAATTGCTATCTTGTCTTTTGAATCCTCGTCTTCCTGCTTGCTTCCTTCCGATAGGGCTTGACTTCCGTGTCGGCTTCCATCGTGGGAAAACCTTCCCGTAGTCTTGCCTGGCTGTGCTTGCTCGAGGATTGAGCTTAAGCGACCTAGCGGAATCTCTGTCTACGCTTTCTCGCAAATACAGGATATTGAGGTTCCCTCCCTTACCAACCTGAGAGATCGCTGACGACATGCGGGCATTACACACCTTCTTACTCCCTCCGTTCAACCTTCTGTACCCTACCACGACGCACTGGCCCCTTTCGCTTTCCTCCTTCCTGTTCCCCCTTCCGTCGCCTTTCGCCGAATCGATTTCGTGGCTCACCTCCCCCATTTTCCTAACTTCACGTCCCCATTCTACCGGGGGAGGGGGGGATGTGTCTTTAACTTTCTACCATATGTGCTGCGACTCTCGTCTTGTATTCACCCAGCCCTCTACGTTAGCCCTTTGCGCAATGCCCCCCTCAACCCATCCTTCTCTATCCATTCATTTACTCTCACGAATTAACATATTGTTCCACCTGCGTGCCTGATTTCCCACTACATATCAGGATCCTTGATATTTCCAGCTCTTTTGTTCGTTTTCTTTAAGAGTACAAATCATCTTCCTCCTCTGCTGCCGCCCCTGCCCCTCCAGCAGCTGCCTCACCTCCCTCCGGGAAGCGGAAGGCCGCTAGGGATCCTCCTGGGCCAGTAATTTGGCTGCGAGCCTGCTGCAATGTCTGTGATAGAAACACAAATGCGGGTGTTGGTAAAAACATAAGCAACGAGGAGTAAGGGGGGGGGGGGATAAAGGAAGACCTTAAGGTGCAGGGACGTAGGCGATGGAATATTTTTTTTCCCTCCAGTCAATAAGCATACAATTCAAGAACAGGGTTCCAAAGAGGCAGGAACATCAAAAGCAATATCAGAAACAGAGGCGGCAAGCGAGCGTACCTGTGCGAAGGAAGAGTATTGCTGGAGGTCTCGATCCGATACTGAGCGGCGAGCGTTGCGGACGGCATCTTCGAAGTGCCGAGGAAGAATCTCTGCTTCGGTAACCTGGATCATTGCAAAGAGGCCATAAAGGTAGTAAACAATGAATATACCTTGCTTACAAGCATCTTCACGCCAGCAGTCTATGATATTCAATTAAACTTATGTAGGCCCCCAGTCTCTAGGATCCCAAGGAGAAATATGCCTTTTTTAAAAAATCAGACTTATCCTTCCATCCAACATTTCTATGTACCATTAATGTATACAACCAATTTTATTGCTACTGTCTTCTGTCTCACCTCTTCCATCGGCTCCTCTTCCATATCCACCTCGCCAGCCTCCGCCCTCAGTTTTTCCCGTTCCATGTCTCGCTGGATCTCCTCACGAATAGCTGAGAGCATGGAAAAAGCGAGTCGAATGACAAGAAGTGAGATTCCGCTTTCTGCTAGGGTTCTAATCCCTCCTAAATCGATTCTCTTCGTTCCTCTACCTATAATTACGTACCAAGTTTTGCGGCCCGCTGGCATATCTCAGTCAGATCGGCGCCAGTAAACTTGTCCGTCTTTGACAAAACAAAAATAAAGTGGATTAAAGAAATTAAGGAAGTCAGCAGTCAAACCAACAAATCTTACTTTAAAGATGGTAAAGAAGACACCACGATAATTTCCAGACAACGTTCGACCAAATTCTCTTGCTTCCGACATCAAACCTCTCCATGCTCACCTGGGCGGCCAAATACTCGAGATTGACGTCCTTCGAGACGGGAGATTTGCGAAGTGTCGCTTTCAAAACGCCCAGTCTGCATGAATGGGGATGGAGCGATAAAGGAGAGGGAAGCAATGATGTGAAGATACTACATCGCATTGCACGTGTCTACATGTCAAAAGCTCTTACTCCGAGCTTTTTTGCCCCAATCCACTCCATTAACATGTTCTAAACTGAAAGCGCTTGAAATGCTTACCGACTCTCGTAATCAGGCATGGGAATATAGATAAGTTGATCGAGGCGGCCAGGGCGCATTAGGGCAGGATCGATGATATCAGGACGGTTAGTGGCACCTGGCAACGTAAAGAAAAGAGCGCATGCGTCAGAATCTCATGAACTCGGACAATAAATATTGGAAGCGAGAGGACAAGACAATATTTGCAAAAGAACAGTTGGACTAACCAATGATGAAGACATTCTTCTTCGCTCCAACGCCGTCCATTTCTGTCAAGAGCTGGTTCATGACGCGGTCCGAAGCACCACCGCCGTCTCTGTCCGATAAAAGTACGAATGAAAATGCAGGACGGTTCAGACAGTTCTGCCAAACACTTACGCTGATAAGACAACATATCTCCTGAATCTAGTGTCGTGTCTACTTTCAAGCCCTTCACTTCCCTCCTTACCCGCTGTTTCCCCCTCGAGACTGCGCAATGGAATCCAGTTCGTCAAAGAAAAGGACACAGGGCGCGGCGGCTCGAGCTTTTTCGAAAACCTGGGGAGAAAGGGGAGAAAAAAGACGGAAGAGGATATTGAGCATTCTTACACAGGCTTTTAGCCAAAGCGCAGAGGGAAACGACGGACGCACACAGCACACAGGCAAAAAGAATGACCAAGAGGACACGACCAATTGACACTTGAGCCCAATGCCTGAATTAAAAATGACCTTGTCGGGGGATACCAGACCACCTCATCCAAGAGCAAACACCTCATTTTACCCCTGCAGCACCTCATGAAAACCCCCAAAATCACGTTTACGTTTGAAGTTATCCGATTGCCATTCAACATTTCTTCCGCGCCCAGTACCGTCTGTTTTCCTCCGTCTCAAGTCACAAACCTACCTCTCGGACGTTGGCTTCGGACTCGCCGAACCACATAGTCAAAAGCTCTGGTCCCTTGACCGAGATGAAGTTGGCTTGGCCTGGAGCAGGGAGCGACGCATGGAGGAATAGAAAACCCGGTGAAGAGATAGGGTAAGCAGGATAATCACGGCGACAAGGATAAAGGTACATCAAGAAATGATGTCTGGTACCAAACATGCAACGCCTTTTTATGCATCTATCCAGGAAGGTTAGCCACATCCTTGAATTCGTACAGTAGTCTCTGCCCACCCTTCATCACGAACAACTCGAAACCATGTTTGTCAACTCACTCTCCTTCTCTCTTTCCCTCCCTCTATTCCTCCTCCCTGCCGTACATTCGTTTGCGACAGCTTTGGCCATAAGAGTCTTGCCGCACCCGGGCGGGCCGTAGAAAAGGACTCCCCGGGAAGGAGACATGCCAAATTTCTCAAACTGCCAAGAAAAGTAGGGAAAGGGCGGGGGAACGAATGAGTCAAAATATTTTTAAAAATCACCATGTGACCTTGCTCCCGCGAGTAAACGCACTCCAGGTAAAAAGAATAGACGAAAACGAAACGCGCACGTGCAAAGAAATCGGATGCGGGAATGAGACGAGACGAAAGCGGAAGGAAAGAATTAATCAGGGCGTAGTCAGCAGAGAAGGATGGCGAAGAGAAAAAGAATAGAGAAAGGAAAAGAGACCTTCTCTGGGTGCTCCACAGGGTATTGGACAAGCTCCTGGAGCTCGCGCTTGACGCCTTCCAGGCCACCGATGTCGTCCCAATTGATGTTTGGCACCTGAAAATGACAATGTAGTAGGAGACAGGATGTAAGCAAGGGCAGGAAAAAAGTAAAAATTCCCGGGTATCGTGACTGCTCCCTGCGGATGCTTTTATCCAGGAGGAAGTAAGTCGAAGGAATCGAGGAAGCTCTTCGTACCTCGACGACCGTCTCTCGGAGAGAGGAGGGATTGGACACACCCAGCGCGTATTTGAAGTGCTCTTGAGAGACAGCCATAGAATTCAGAACCTATATTTTTTAAAAAATATGAACGGATTTAAAGCGGAAAAAAGCAGACAGAATATGTCAAGAGCAAGGACAGGGACGTGTAAGAGGGGGACTAGGAGCCAAGCGACGGGAGATTTTCTAGAGATAAAGCAAGATGCACGGTACCTCGGCGTCGATGCTCTCATCCTCGATATCAATGACGTCCATCTTCTCACGGATACATTGCATAGCAGCCTGTGCAACGCGAAAAAAGCAGGAAAAGGAGATGTATCGACAGGTCAATCACCGCCTGACAAGCATGTTGTGCATCTCACATGCACTTCTATTGATCGATTAATCGTGTGGCAGTCGTCTTTCCTGTCCCATGCTTCCTTCTGGCTCCTTCTTACTCCCGACCATTCTTCTCACCTCTGTGCAGAGTGCGGCCATGTCCGCCCCGACAAAGCCATGCGTGTCGCGGGCAATCGCCTCCGGGTCCACGTCTTCGTCCAACTTCATATTGCGAGTGTGGATGCGGAAGATCTCCAGACGTCTGCATCCACCCACATGCAGGATCATGGAGAAGGAGAGGTTTAGAGACCGGGGGTGAAAGGACGTCGCGATTTCGCGACAGCCGTCCTACATCAGCTCCCTCCCCCGGTACGCCTAGCCCCACGCGTCTTACCCATTCTCATCAGGCACGCCAATGTCGATTTCCCGGTCGAAGCGGCCGAAACGACGGAGGGCGGGATCGCTGTGTTTGGGGGGGAAGGAAGGTGATGACGTGAAAGGAGGGAAAAGGCACGTCGAGTGAACGTTTTCCAGATCAAGATCGATACCGCAATATGTAGCGCATACGGGCGTGTCCCCAACGCCCTACAACTACTATTCTTTGGGATAAAAAAAGTTCAATAGCATGCAGCCATCCCAAGATGCGGCGATAAGACACGTACATGGAGTTGGGTCTGTTTGTGGCGCCAATCACAACCACAGAGGCGCGCTTCTTCATGCCATCCATCAAGGTCAGTAGCTGCGAGACGATGCGACGCTCCACCTAGCGAGAATGGGAAAGGATGGGGAGAAGGAAAAATCGAAAGGGTGATGCATCGATGTCGACGTAAAAGGGATCAAAGCGCTACCATGACAGAGACGGAGAGATAACCTTAAGCCCTTTATCACTTGACCGGCCCATCCAGTAACCCGAACATGTTTACAGAGCTATGCCAGCACCACCTTGCAGCCTTTACCAATGCATATACGTGGTTCGTTCCTCCTCCCCTCCTTCGAAAATTCACTGTTACTCAAATCTGATTTCTTACCTCCCCGTTGGTCTTTTCGCGCTTGGGTGCGATGGAGTCGATCTCGTCGATGAAAATGATGGCTGGGGCATTCTTCTCTGCTTCCTCGAAGGCCTTGCGCAAGTTGCTCTCAGACTCACCCGCCATCTACTCAGGCGAGACGGTGAAGAGATTAATATACCGAGGGAGATTAAGAAACAGGCAAAGAAATTGTTGTTATTGCCCCCTCTTATCTTGTCCCAGTTACACCCAGCGTTGTGGTGAGACACCACAAATATTTCTCTCCTTCTAAATCCTCTCGCAATTTTCTTCTCGCCCTCCCTTCCCGTCAGCTTTCTCCCTCCCCACCTTGGACATGATTTCAGGCCCGTTGATGAGAAAGAAGAAGGCCCCGGTCTCATTGGCGACGGCGCGAGCAATCAAGGTCTTTCCTGATCCCGGCGGCCCATAGAGTAAGACGCCTGAGGGATAAAACCAGGGTTCCAAGGGGGTGAGGATGAAATTTGATGCGACATTGAGCTCGAGAAAAAGAAGGAGGAAAAGTGTTGATTTCCGGAATTATGATCAGAACGACGTTTGTTTTTATCTGATGCATTAAAATGGAGGTCGATAGCTAGGACAGGTAAAAAGAAGCAAATCTCATAAATTGGAAAATCAGCAATCTGGAGGTCAAAAATACAGGAGGGATGTCAAAGAAGACAAACAAAAGCAGCGAAATAGATACGAAGGGGCAAAAAAGGCGAATCTGGAAGGCATAAAGCAAGTATTGAGGCAACATCGCAAGTGGAAAATGCGTCCCTCGCGTCGACTCACCGCGGGGGGGTTTCACTCCCAGCGTTTTGAACAGGGTCGGGTGTCGCAGGGGCAACTCAATCATCTCGCGGATCTGCGCCATCTGCCGCCGGCAGCCACCGATGTCGTCGTAGCCCTTGAATAGAAGGAGGGGAGGAAGGCGGAGGGGAAGGGACGTGACGTCGTCAGTACGAGAAAATAGGCTCATGCGACTCCTTCTCCGCGTCACCCGGCGGGCAAAGCACCCCCCGGCATCCACGACGCCCTCCCAGCATACCACATCGTCCAGGCGCTCTTCGTCCTCGCGCTTGACCGGCTCCCCCTCGCAAAAGATGACCGTGTCGGGGGCTACGATACAGTACGGCGCCGGCTCTGTTTCCACTACCTTGAATTCAACGGGGTGCATGGCCTGTGGAGGAGAGAAGGGAGCAGGCCCAAGAAAAAAGACGTACTAGGATGAGCACATCACAAATTTTGATAATGTAGCACACGTGTAGACAAGATGATGCGGAAAAATCAAACGAAATGGGTACAGAGGAACCGGAAACGAAAAGGAAAGAAAAAGGGAGGGAGGCGACCAGGCAAGAGAGGACCCCCCCCATGGCACTTCTCTGACCTGTCGGACGAGAAAGAGATCCCCCTTTGTGACAGGACGGTAGGCCTCCAAAAAATAGGGCTTGAGATAGACGTCGAAAAGGTTTCCCGTGACACCTGCAGCACGGCAAATTCGAAGAAGAGGGAAAGAGGGCAGAAAAGAGTAAGGATGGCGTCCGCACAAGGCGCTGACCAAGCCCCCATGCATGGTAGACAGGTACACGCAGCACAATTTCAAAGTATTCCAAGCACTAAAAATAAGCGAAGCGTGAGCAAATCCTTCACAGGGTTGGGTGAAACAGCACTACGTACCCTCGATGGTGTCGTCTAAAGGGAGGATGTGCACGCGCTTCCCGTAAGGCACGTCCGAGCAGGGGGAGAGGGTCACCAGGTCTCCTAGACGGACTCGCAGATTCTTGCGCACGACCTGCAGAGAAGGAGGAAACCCCATACCCGCAGTGTGAGCGCTGTGGAGTACTTTCACTACCACCCCCACCCTCTGATTTCATATCCCCGTTTTTCTCTGTCCCGAATTTTCGTCTTTCGCACCTTGTTCATGCGTACGTTGCTATCATCCGTGGCTTCTTCAGTCAGTACGATGCATACCGTCGAGCGTCCTGCAAGGGTCGGTCGGGACAAGCACAGCGATGAGTACAGAGCCGGACACCACCGCATCGAGTGCATCACCCCTTCCCCTCCTTCCTTCCGGGTCCTCCTGCCTCTCAATATCAATCACTCACCCTTCTTGCCCTTGACCACCACCGTGTCTCCACGGAAGAGGTTTAACTCCTCCATCTTTGCGGCAGAGAGGCCGATAACACTAGAGTAGAAAAAACAAGGGTGGAAGGGTTGAGACAAGCATAAGTCGCTTCAATGTTGGTCCGCCTTTCTCCAACTTATCCCTGCTATGCAGCCGATCGAGAAGTCTCTCACTGCGCTGTCAGGCATACCTGTTGTCGTCGTTGGTGGCCTCGTCAACAATCAAGCGGTTGGGACTGCGTTTTTTGCTGCCCTCAGCCATGGGGACTATGCCGCCGGCACCCCCGTCTGCCACAGGGGTGGGAACGCCATCGCCAGCTTTACCCGTGGATTCATCCATGTTCTCGCGTGTAACCTGTGTAAATTTTGGTTTGTTGGTCTGGTGGTGGAAGAAAACACGCGTGGATGAGGTTGATAGCTTCGATGACAAACCTGGGACCATCCCAGAAAAAGGGTCGGTCGAATGACTCGGGACAGACTTGAACAGCATCGTAAGGGCAACAACGCATCTCGTTTTCAAGAGGAAGGCTATGATAGTTTCGCGCAGACAACGTGTACACGAGACAGATAGGGCTTGGTTGGGCTCTACTGCGAGCATGGAAGCTAACGGCCGCAGCCGGTGCCGTTTTTGCACCCATAAGACTAAGCGTAATGACATAAAATCCACATGCAGTCTGCACACGCTCCTCTCTCCAATCTCTAGCCAATGGTAACGATCAAAAGAAACATCTAACCGCCAAACATGTGGAACGGGCCTGCGACGGGCTTGCAAAATGGACACTTAGCGCACGAGGGAGGATGATGTGGTGCTTTGAGCCCGATATCGGGGGAGGGACAAGGATGGAAGAGTCGGACGAGTCTTTCGCACGCTAGTCTCGTGCCACCAGTGCACCCTCCGCCATGACACACACATCGTCCATGGCGCCAGGGCGCGATGACCCTCCCTTGCGCACGGCGGGCCCGGGTGGGAGGCATGCGTTCAGGTTACAGGTGATCGCCAGAAACTTGCAGAAGGAAGAACTTCGAAGAAAGGCGGCAGCCTGGGGGTCCAAGCCCGCCCTCCCAAGCAGCAGGACCATGACGACCGCAAAAGAAGCGTATTCGGGTTTTACACAACGAAAACGTGAGTCTGGCACCATAGAACGATTAGAAAGTATGCGATGCGATACTTTGTCCCCCATTGGTGGGTAGATGTTTCTTTTCAATTTGACCACCTTGTTTTTCTTGTTGGGAATGGCCCATTTCTTATACAACTCCATGCCCAAGAAAAGCATCGTTTGATGCAGGTGAAGAGCCATTGCAGCTCACCCGTCAATTTTGATTTTATAGGCATATAGGGTAAAATCATCATAAAGTGCAGTATATTCCCTCATATACTCGGAAATGCCTTCATTTCACTCATCGATTGTTTCCAAAGTTAGGCTTTCGAGGCAAATACATCCGCAACATTCGTTATTGTAGGTTCTTGCAATTTGTGGCTTCCATATTGCATCGTATTTTTTCCAAGCTATAGGACTAATAGCTGTGTACAACAAAAGATCTGCATCCAAAAATTGTAACGAGTTGCAGTCTTCCCTATTCAAGCGTCTTCAATACACAAATTGCATCGTGCGTTTTTGTAATTATGTTGCATTGCTGAGAGTGACTTGTGAGTTGTCCAAGAAAAGTCGAGAAAAGTCAAAAAGGACCGAAGTATCCTTTGTTTCAGTGGTGTGCTTTCATTTTCCCACATGTTAAGTGGAGATTATTCATATTGGCAAATCTTTGTGTTTACGTACTCGCAAAAATCCTTCGACGAGTCAAACGAGGTGTTTACGACATTGGAGGCGGTCGCAATTCTTGTAAGTGAACAGAAATGTACATATGTAAAGTAAGCCACCGGACGATCTTGGAAAATGACAGAATTAAGATAAGAGACACATAGAGGGAACTATGTAAGCATAGATACACATGCATGGTATGCGCTCCTGCCCAATTATCCCCCTCTTCCTTCTTAGCCTTTTCGCCCTCTTGTCATAGATCAGTATATCTTCCACTCCTACATTGTAGAAGAACGATAGGTCAATGAGACCCTGTGAAATGTGCGGATGCCAAGAAAGTATCTACATCCTCAAAAGTAAAGAGCTTGGCCATTGAAAGCCTACACCTCTTCAGATCAGCCAGTTCTTCTTTATACAGAACTCCTTTTATCAAATAAGAGGTCCAAAGGGCGGTCGTTCGTGGATTAAAGGAAACGACAGTTTCTCAAAATGTGGAGGTCAATAATGAGCTATGCGCATCTGCATGTGTGTCAAGGCGTTCTCCGAGAATGGGTCCATTTATCACCAAGGGCGTAGCAAAAGTCCAAACAATTCACAGTGAATCAGAATATCACGTGAATACGCTGAAAGTTTGGATTTATATTTCTAACTTTTGGATTTTTTTGGTATTGATTTCACGACGCTAAGTTAATGCGCCATGTAAGGGCCTTGCTGATATGTGGAAAAGCTACAGTAAAATTCTACAGAAAGCCGTCAGAAACGTCGTCAATTTCATTTATGACAGCAAAATATATGAAGGATTTCCCTCCTTGTGTCCCCTTCCACGTGCCAAGATCCCTTTAGCTCGTGCAGCTTTGCTCTTGTTCCAGGTCCGCAGGGGGGAAAAGCCCTAGCGAGGGTCAGGAGACGCAAAAGCCCGAAATTTGTCCGGGCCCCGACTCCCGCCCCGGCCTCCCGCCGCAAATGTCCTTTGAAGGGCTTGCCACTCTGTCCGCTCCGTGACCCCACGCCGACTCCTTTTGCATGCAAAGACATAAATTGTTGGCGAGGTGTGTTCCTCCAGCAGTTTTAGGACCGCGTCAGGCTATCGTTTGTACGCTCGACTTGTCTCGGGTTTCAGCCTCCTGCGTCTTGTTCCTTGAGATTTTTCAGCCCAAGGTAACGCCCAGTGATAATTGAGATGTGCCTCTTCGCACGCAACGTGAAATGGCGATGCCTTGAAAAATGTTCATGCCCGCGCTCCCTCTTGCTTGCATAGCAGTAGCACTTGGGAAATTGGAAAAGCTGTAGATGGGTTGGCAGTTTTCTAATGTGCTTTGTCTGCCCCATTTTTTCCAAAGGTGTAGCTTGAGATAGACTCAACTGTGACGTGCGAAGTCTAGTGCATGGCAACGCTGTACTGTCTCCTTGTTGCTTTTTCTCTCTTTCCATCAAGCTTTGCTTCTGCCATTTTCTCTGAGCTATTTACTCACATGACTCCTTCTTATCACTAAAAGAGGCATGTCAGAAACAGGAAGCAACGTACAAGAAGACACAGATGACCTGAGTCCTGGGAGACGGACAAGTGCAGAAGCGAGGCTAAAAAGTGAACATTCGGATCCACACGTGTACGAGGATACTCAGGGCTCATCAGATTCATTTCTGGATGCGGCGCCCACATCGCAGGGGACACCGACGTCATCTCATGAAAAAGAAGTAGCCGCAGAGCTCCGACAGGTCCTTTCAACGGGCTCTTTCGCTGGTTTGTTGATGCAATTGGCGGGCAGCAGTGGTAGTAGCTGCGGCAGCAGTAAAGGTAGTGCTGATAGCACGTCCAAGGTGTCGGCTTCCACTGAGGTAGCTGTAGACGAAGGCAAGCGAGAAAAAAGGCGGCGGCAACTATCGCCAGGGCTTGTCGACCAGCGCCACCTGGAGGGGCAAGCACACAGTATGGAGGGGACGGAGAACCCACAAAAAATAGAAGCTCCGCCACCTCTGATCGCCTTCGCCCCGCGTCCAAGAACTCTCGAGACCCCTGCTTTGGGAGTACGTATGGCCGCGACGGACCATACAACGTCGTCCATGCAGCCCGTGGTATCGAGGGGCCAAAGCGGGACGAGCGACAGTGCGGGCAGCCTGAATTTTGCGAACATGTCTCCATTTTCCTCGATAGAATTTCCCATTGGACCTACGCTGTTGTCCTCTCCTTCGTTTCCTTCCTCCTCCTCTGAGATGCCGGAGCCTGTCACATCATTAGGATTGCTCGAAGGTCAAGCATCCATGTCCACGGATTGGCAAGAGGGAGTGCCACTGGATTCGCCGTCTGAAATTTTCATGAGCCAAGGTGGTGACGGAGGGAGCGGAATGGTGATGGGGGCACCCTCGACTTTCTCGGCGCCCGCACCTACTGCCGGAGACGCCGTTGACGAAAGACTGGTAGGACTCGCCTCACCTGCCACATCCACCGCCACCTCCACAACGTCTACCATGCACACCACCACGACCATGATGGACCTCCAGTCGGGACAGGCGGAAGGGTCTGGAGTAGGCTATCTACCTGTACTGAACGCCGACACGCATTTTCCCTTCTCTGCGTCGACCCCCGACGAGACCCTTTCCCTCCCCTCTCCCTCGGTGGCGGCGGCTTCCCTCGGACCTCCTGCTGACAGGACAAGGGACTGGCAAGGAAGGAAAGGGTTGAGAAGCGAAACGAAGACGGGATCACCCCTCGGTGCAGAGCATCCTAGAGTGATTACTACTCCGACTCTTGCAACCCTTTCTTCCGGCGGGGCGCGTGGGCAGGGGCAGCCTCGACAGATTCCTCCACCCCCGTTGCCGCTGCCGGCAGCCTCTCCCATGGCCACGGCTACGATGATGATGGGTCACCTAGGCTTTAACACCTACTATGCACCACCACCCGTCCCCTCCTCCCTACCCGCTGCCTCCAAGGCGTCAAAATCACCGGCCGGTGCTGCCAATAGGGCAGCCGCTGCGACTTTGACGAGCGGAAGTCGGGGCTCACGAACCAGGAGACGGTCTGCGAGCCTGTCGACCTCGTCTACACCATCAGCGCTTCCCGTCGCAGCCATTCCCAGGGCAGCTGCCGCCACAAGACCCACAATAGACACTGCTGCTGAGGTAGCAGAGTCAAGTACAGGACTTCTTCGTGGAAGCTACAGGTGCGGGCGCTGTGGAGGGATGAAAAAGAATCACGTATGCCCCTATCTGTACGAGGAGCATCTGGAGAGGCGGGACGCCGGCACAGAGGTGGACTTGGTGTTAACACGGGGAGACCAGGACAAAGGAGGGCGTCCAAATATGCCCTCTGGCATGTCCTTTCATTTTCTGACGATTCGAGCCCGTGAAAATGTGAAGGCGGGTTTTCAGACATTACTAGCATCGACACCAGAGCTGGACATCAGGATGGAGACAGGCATTCCGTCGACTCATACTTCCTCGTCTTCGGCGCCACTGCTGCCCCTGCCAGTACCCATGAGCGTTCATGGACAAGCCATGGCACATTCAGCTTTATATGATAACATGAATATGTCTCGGTCGATACAGGAGCAAGAGCCTCAGGGACAGCGGCGCCAGCTGCAGCAGCAACAAGACGTGTACCCTTCACCAGATCAAGCCCCCGCCATCGACTCACAGGTTCCAACAGATATGGAGGAGGATCAAGCAGTTACACTTGTGAGACAATGTTATTACGTGCGGGTCCATAGCGACTCGTACAAGGACGAAGGAGAAGGAGGAAAAGCATGGTTGTATATGGAAAAAGAGTAGGATTATTGAAAACTGTGTGACTTACATTTGCGTCGGAAATATCTGGAATACCCTTCTGGAAACAGATGGGAAGCGTACCTTTACGATGACAGTAATGAGTGAAAGGGACGGTTGGAAATGTGTCATCTTTCTCTGACATAATCAAGGAGTGACGATAAATGTAATCTCTGTGGAGATGCTGGATTGCTGGCTTGTAATAGTGTAGATTACATGCTTTCATGTGTAATTTTGATGCGTAATGTAGACGCGCCGTATCGCTCTACATGTGTGCTACATATCTTTTGCCCAAAGTACAAACATCTTTATTCTTTCATGTAGGAAAGAAATGTGTAATTTAGATCATGTTTTTGGTCATAGAAGCAAAAAATATTTTTGGATACTGATGAAACCACATGTATCGCGTTCCAAGGAAATTCGAAATTACTTTCTTGTCTCTTTTATATCTCAATTCCTCAAGTGCAACGGTAATGCTTCCTTTTACTGTCTGCATCGCAATTCCACGGAGTGCGATTAATATGAATTCTGGGCTTAAAAGGATAAACATACTTCATTCATTCGTCAAATGAAATTCATAATCGCCGCTCAAATGTTGCTATTAAATGACCGCATTGCGTGGGACGACAAAATTAACAGTGGCGTCACTCCGGAAAATTGAAAATGACATCCTCGCCTTGACAGCTCGAAAGCGGTCTTCAGATATAGTCATTATCCTAAATTACGGTGTTGTTGTGCTCCAACTTCCCGCTATAGATTGAATTTGACCAAAAATACATCATTGAGGTCATCGCACACACGGCGAGCCACGGCGTCTCCCTGGAGACGAAAGTTAGACGCAACAGGCCGACCGATCCTCTGATGTGAAGAGCTTTAAGAACTTATACGATATTGCACGCACTTGCTTTCTATGTCGACAAGGATCAGTGGCAACTGGCAAACGCAGAGTCGCAAAGTCACGCCGAGCAGGTGGGGAGGACAGAGCATTGGGCCATGAGCCGCACCTAACAAGTTTAATGATACTAGTGTATTCGTGTCAAAGGAGTAATTTCGATTGAGTTCCGGTACTCGCGTGAAAAGTTAACCAAACTCCGGAGATGGGACCGCATCTATCGCTGCACCCCAGCTTGTTTTGATTTTTTCTTGCAACTTCAAGCGGCGCCTTTGTATTGTTTGTTTTGACCATAATGGGTCATAGGATAGCTCATGAAAATAATCAATGCCTAATAAGCTAAAAACTCAGCTGTAATATACCTGCACAAGTGGCACCCACAGTCCTTTTTCTCCTATCCAAAACCCTGTACCATCGCTACGAGCCAGGGGAAAAGTGACGTCATAGCGTGTTGCTCACGGCGAATGCGCCAAACTCCGCGGCCGCCGTCGAGAGGGATATGCACCAACTCCGAGACACAGTAAGTGCACGCTCTGGAATGGGAAAATCGCACTGAAAATACCCAAGGCGTCCCTAAATTTCATAGTGTCTGACATAGCTGTATTGTTGAACACGCATACTTGAGGATTTTTTCTCCAGTGTTGGTACGTTCCCTCGCTTTGCCTGTATGCAACATGGAACACTGCCCGTTGAAATGGGCCAAACAGACACGAGCAAGTTTTCACAAGAAGTGTCTTAGCTTCGCTACAAACAATAAGGTCGGGATCTTTTCAACTTCTTTTGGCTGCTAGGAGCATCAGATGTAGTCTTCACTGTTCTTTGTGCCATTTTCCCCAAGGAAATGCGTCTCAAAACAGTGTTCAACGATTCAATGTACTATGGTTGGACGGTCGTCCGAGCATCCTGCCTTTCAGTATCAGAGTCAGCCTATCTTTGCACAAAAATATATTCAATGCAACAAACAAGGCGTCCATACTCAAGCACAGGAGCTTTCGGAGAAGGTTTAAAGCAGAAAGCAGCAGTGCGGGGTGCATAGTCATATTAGCACGCGAAACTATTGCTCACAAGGCCTTTCTGACAACCCGAATCAACGAATGGTTGCGGCTAATGCTCCTATAGTTGAGCCTCAGAATGGTGGCAGAAACCGTGTCCGTCGTTACGTACTAGGAGGTTTTCTCCTGGCGGCTGTGGTGGGAGGAATTTTGGCCCTAGTCTTCACTGTGGGGAGAAAACCAGAGAAGACGACGGGTGTTGCAGGCAGCGTCACATCCTCCCTTTCGGATGGAGACACGACATTGTCTGACGTGTTGGCAAGCATTAAAGCCGCAGGTGATGTCTCTGGGTCGTCTTCAGGCTCGTCCATGAACGTGAGCCCTCTCACACCTGATTTGGAGGCAGCCCTGCAGGCTGCCATCGCCAAGAATAGCGTCGGAGATCCGTTACAAATCGGGAATGCGGTGGAAAATGGTGATTTGACCTTGGAGGGAGTGAAGAAAAAGAGTGGCATGGGTGACATGGATATGGGTGGTATGGATATGGGTGATATGGATATGGGTGATATGGATATGGGTGATATGGATATGGGAGATATGGATATGGGAGATATGGATATGGGTGATATGGATATGGGTGATATGGGTATGGGCATGGGAAATAGTCCCAGGAACGCCACAGATCTGTCTAAGTTCGTGGGAAAGGACACATGCTGGCCTCGAAACATTGTCGAGCTCCAGATTGCCGTGGAGGAGGCGGACTGTCCCCTCGTGGTACTGACCAACCCGAACCCAATGGCCTACATGCTCATGGATATGAACGAGATCATGGTTATGCGACACGTGCGAGTCTTGGGCCATCCTGCTCTTCTCCCCACCATCGATGCGATGATGGGCATGCGCGCATTCACTATCATGGAGGGAGGCTTCTTGGAGCTGCAGTACGTGAGGGTCAGGCAGGGTATGGGTATGTATCGAGATCGTTACGGTTTGGAGGGACGGGATGACATCTCCTCCAAAGTATTTGAGATTAAGGGAGGAAGTGTCATGTTGGAAGAGGGGGCCGAGGGCGCGAATTTTGTCGGAGTCATCTTCCTTGCAGTAATGACGAACCAGGAGATGACAGAACAGGCCATTCAGGACGAGATTGACATGACAGGCTGGCGAATCTATGGAGGCCATGTCTATGTGACTGCGGGCACAGTGCGCTTTTTCAACTGCCATTTCTGGGACTCTATGATCCTCATGCCTTTTACAGACCAGGTGGCGATCGGAGCGGATATCTTGGTTCTTGCAGGGAACGTCTTCGTCACGGGTTGCACCTTCACGAATACGATGCTCTTCTCAAATTATGGGGGGGCGGGGTGGAACATTGTCACCCTTGGGGGCAATACGGTTATGACTTGGTGTACCATCCAATGGCAGGCCATTATCATGTCCATGTTCGTGGCGGGTATGGTCGTTTTCACAGGCGGAGGAACCTTAATCATGACTGGAGTGGATTTCCGTTTCGTTTCCGCGGGGATGAATTTCGCAGGTTTCGGCTCGTTTGGGACAGGGGCAGGAGTCATGGTCAATACAGGCGTGACCATGGAGCAGGTTTTCGCGGTCATGTCCTCCTTTGGCGCCAGTATGTACAATGCCGTAGGAGCCGGTGTTTTGATCGAGTCTGGAGCAACTTTCGTTCAATTTACTGGCCCGGTTTACATGGCCATGACTGGGATGATGGACTTTCTGGGCACAGGCGCCTCTTCCCATGTGGGGGTGCCATGCTCGATGTCTGGTTCCACGGGGGCAATGCATGGACAGGGAGGCTTCAGTTACAACGGAGCCGGGTCTTCGGTATGGGTGGGATGCCCCGTCGCCATGTTCTGGGCTGTCTACTCCTTCTTGGGCACGGGCGGGGTGGCGGCTCAGGGAGCAGGAATCATGATTTGGGTCGGAAATCCGGTTTTCATGCCGATGGCTGTTTCCTACTTCGCGGGCTTGGGGGCGATTATGTTCGTGGGTGCCGGCTCTGCGGTGATCGCCTTGTCGCCGGTGTCGATGCCGATGGCGGTCATGGCCTTTGCGGGTCCAAGCATGCCTATGATGATGGACAACGATATGATGGATATGCCCCCGCACGGTGGTGGCAACCACACCATGATGAGTGTCAAGCACATGGGCAACCACACTATGGGAAACAACACCATGGGAAATGATACCATGCACATGAACGACGATATGCACATGAACGACGATATGCACATGAACGACGATATGCATATGAACGACGATATGCATATGAACGACGATATGCATATGAACGACGATATGCATATGAACGACGACATGCACATGGACGACGATATGCACATGATGATGATGCCGGCGAATTTCTGGATTCAGGGGAACATCATGGCCATGGGCAGGGGTGGCGAGTACGTGACGGGTAAGAAAAAGAACAATCACAATATGACAATGCGATCCCGCATGCTGTCGTCGAAGCCTGTACTCAAGCTCCCACAGGAGAGGGGAGGGTCCAAAAGCCTAGAGCGAGAGCCAGACCATGGAGTAAGACGCTTGTCCGGCTCGACTTTTATGGACGCCTTAGATCTCTTTGACGACGGAGATGAGCGGGGATCCAAATTGTTGGCAATTGGCTTGGATGTCGATAATGATTTGGATGTCCGGAAAGATGGAATGGCTGATAAATTTAGAAGCTGGGTGCCTGAAAAGTTCATCAAGGTCGCTGCGGACGTTGCAGCACTTAAGGAGAGCATCGCCTTGAGATCTGCTGGAGAAAAAGATCCCCCCCGGTAAGTTGCGCTCTACTTGTTACATATATCATCACTTGCATGAGATTGCATTTCACAAAATGGGATTATTTTGAACAGGCGGTCAAAGATCCACCCAATTAATTTGCGGGTCGAGAACGAAGGCCTTGATTATTGTGGCATCTGTGAGACGGATCTTGTAGGCGGCAAGGGGTTGAACACTTGTAACGTGATGGACTCCTGTGCAGACCTCCGCGAGCAAGCCCCGGAAGGCACTCAAGCCGCTTTCGATATGGGAGATGTGTCCTTCGATCCCACGCATATGGTTATGGCCGAGTTTTTACCTACTACAGGAGCTAGTGTTGAGGAAGGCTCATTCGACCCGAGTATGCTCCGACGGGCCCTTCAAGGTTTCTTGAAGAAGAATGGAACGACGGGGGTCCAGGTATCGACGTTTCCAGCCATGCAAGATAAATTCTTCATGGGCCTCGCTGACGCCACAGCCCCTGCGACGAGGGCGAGGCGACATGCACTCCGCAAATTGCGTCATGAGGATAAGGGCGTCGAGGAAGAGGACGTGGTAAAGCAGGAGGAGGAAAAGGTCAAGCAGCGACAGGAGCGTCGGCGTCGGAGGTCTCTGTTCGCGAACGCAAATTTCCCGAATACCCACGCGTTGAAAGCCGTCTTTGTCACCACCGACGCAGCCAAAGCAGAAGCCTTGACAAGTGCTCTCACGGATGCCAGCTCGGAGGGCTACCAAAAGATGGACAAATACGTGGGCGACTTTTTAAAAACCTACGAAGGCGTCTCAATCCAAGCATTGGATGGTAAGCTTCTTCAGAACATCAATGTGCCGGCTTATGCGAGCATCGACTTCACCAAGGCTTTCGCTCAAGATGTAGGTGCAGCGGCGGGATCCCAGTCGGTCCGCTTAATTGATCCTGTCAACGCAGGCATGCCATTGTCCAGGGCAGTGGTGGGGAAGGACTATGAAGTGGAGCTCGCTGGATTCCCGAAACAAACCTTTTTGTCTGTGACACTGTATGGACGAGATCCGACTGGAGAGAAACAGACGGCAGCCTTGGTCAAGAAAGTCCTTACTACTGATAGGAACGGAAACGCGAACTTTGCCTGGACCGTCCCAGTCGACCAAACGCCCGGGGATTATTATCTGAAGGCCGGAGATTTGACTGGGAAAGTGTTTGGCATGTCAACAAGTTTTGAGGTGGATCAAAAGCCGAAGCGCCGTTTGGTAGGGCCTTCACACACAGTGGAATTCTAGATATTAAGGCGAGAGGGTACATAACAAAAGAGTTCGAGGCGAAAGGGACGCTTAACATGCTGGGGGAAATTGTCATCACAAGATGGAGGACAAAAAGAATTTAGGCTTGTCACACGGTGAGGAAAAGATGTCGCCATAAGGATAATATTGTAAGGAGACAGGGTTTAACTCATGAGCTGCAGCTATCTTGTTTAAAAACACAACTATCTGCCGTTCTCCATACTGCGCACCAAGCTAGCTATCCTACTTTGTGAAGCTCGTCTATGGTATTACCATTTCAGCTACCTCTACTACTCCCATCAATCCCGCAGGAAAAACATTCCGCGCCGATTTATACATCATGTACAGCCCATTATGCTCGAATGCGCTCCAAATCGCATTTATTTCCTATTTGGATTAGAGCATCCAGATCGAACACTCGCGACTCATGTGCATATGTAGCAGGCGGATCCTTCACGGTCAAAGGCTTAAAATTGTGATAAGTGAAGCCCAGCCATGCGATTTCGTGTTCCAACATTCGTCAATATTCGCGAGGTTCTTTTGCCTGAATGTCTACGCGTAGTCTTCGTAGTCTCAAGAGAGGAAAGGGGCAAAGTATTGGGGGGTATGTTTATAACCCTCCGGAAGCAGCGTAATCTCATCTTTTGCTGGCGCCCATCCACATAAATATCTGAGAGCTGATCCCATTTCCTTAAATCCTTTTAGCCAAATGTAATCGGACAGCATGACTGTCAAACTTTAATTTTTTCTACGTATGCAATGTCTGATTATCACACACACTGAAGGCGGGCCCTTCGATTTCTAATGTTTAACCCCTTTTGTGCCAAATGTAGGCCAAGCCCCACAATGCGTGCGATAAAAAGGAAGTTAAAAAATATGTTTGTGCATTAAAAAATAGGCAAGCATGCAGCACGTCCCGATATTGCATAGATCAGTTTGTTGTCCTCGTTGAAAACTCCCTGGCCTCAGGCGAACGACCTCCCCCTGGCATGGCTCAATGGGCGCCTTGACATGTGTCCGTTTTGCACTCGTGATAATGACTCATCCCTTAATTGCCTCCGTCTTTCCGCAGACAGTCTTTGCGCTTTGGGTACACTCTTGGCTGACGAGATCAGGCATTGCTGGGGCACATGCCACCGGTGGCTGCGATTTCACTTCCTGAAAGTGGCCTTCCTCCATCACCCTCCATCTCAACAAAGCTCGAGGTCTCAGATAGCATGAGCTACACCGCTGCAGAGAACCTCAATCAGGCATCCAATTCAGACTCCTCATCATCGACTGAAACAATTTATCACACGTTTCGGGGGAAGATAGCCTCGTTTTTGTATATGGCTCCCCCATTGGCGGCTTCTTCCACCGCAGAGGAACGCCTTCCCCTACGCAGCACGACTAGCTCACAAGACAGAAATAAACGGACTCTGCAAGTGACACCACAATCATCTTCTTCAGAATCCTCCCCCATCCTGACCTACACCACGAACGCGCCTCCCACGCGCCCGCCCACGCGGCTCCTACCCTCCCTCCCTGAGGCCTACCACTCCGTCCCTGTTCCTCGCGCCCGTCCTGGGGAAGTCTCGTGGCTTTCCCGGTGTCGGTAAGCAAAAATAAATACCAAGTGGAAAGAGGAACAGAGGGCTCCATAGAAGGTTTAGACTGATGAGCGTACGCTTCCCCTTTCTCATTCGTTGGTATTGTTTTTCTTTCTTGACAAACAGGACGCTTTTGGCCTACGTGGGCCCGGGATACATGGTGGCTGTAGGTTACATGGATCCTGGAAACTGGGCGACAGATATAGCGGTGAGTCTTTCGGTAAAGGGAGCTCGTGAAGAGAGGACGTGGAGAGCAAGCTTGACGTGCGTGGGATGTCGAAGATCGATTGGTGGAATGAAAGCACTACTTCCTGACTAGACTTTATCTCTTGTCCTGCTTCGTGACAGGGAGGAGCCATCTACGACTATGCTCTCCTCTCCGTCGTCCTCCTCTCCTCCCTCCTGGCTGTCTTCCTCCAGGTGTTGACAGTAAAACTGGGGGTCGCCACCAAACGGGACCTTGCCCAGATGTGTGCCGAGGCCTACTCCCCCCGCTTTGCGGTCTTCCTCTGGATTACGGCCGAAATCGCCATTGCAGCCTGCGACTTGGCCGAAGTCATTGGTACGCTTGGCTTTCCCTCCTTCGGTCGCACACGGGCACTGCCCTCTGCTCATCTTCATCTGCTCATCTTCCTTTCTTTCTGTCACCGTTATTTCCTGCCAATGGGACAGGCTCCGCTATTGCTTTGCAACTTCTCTTTGGGCTCCCGCTAGTATGGGGATGCTGTTTGACAGCTCTAGGTGCGAAAGGGACAGAAAGGAGTAAAGGACAGTTCTGAATCATAGAAAGGGGAAGGAGACGAGGGTATTGAAAGGGGGAGGCTTCTCACCACATTCCTATATCTTTAATATCTTCGCCTTTCCCTGAACCCCTCCTTTGCACTCCAGACGTTTTGATTGTCCTCTCATTCTTCGATAAGCCCGGGCGCCGGTTTCGTGGCCTCGAGCTGGCTGTGATGGGTCTCATCGCCGTCATTTTTGTTTGCTTCGCCGCGGAAATAGTCCTATCTCGGCCTTCTTTCTCAGGTACTCTCCTTGGCATGCGTTACCCTCTCGTACGTCCCCTACTCTGTCCTTTGATCTTTCCCCCCTGTGCTTAATGTTAACGTCCCTTATCTTTCTCCGCTTCTCCTCGTACGACCTCTTCCGTCGCCGCAGGGGTAATGAAAGGTTTCTTTGTTCCCGACCTCTATGCCCTCGCGACGCAGGCGCCTCGCCTATACATCGCCATGGGTAAGAGAGGGTCACAATGAGGGAAGGGGGGGGTTCGCGGCCGTCTTAGTCGTGGAAGGGGTAGAGAGAAAGAACGGGAAGAAACATTTGATGTATCGGGGTCCCATCGAAAGCCGCTAATCGGTCGTCCTGATCATGCGAGCAGGTATTTTAGGCGCCACAGTCATGCCTCACAACCTATACCTCCATTCGTCGCTGGTACAAACGCGGGACTACGGAGAAAGCGTGGAGGACAAGACGTAAGTAGGAAAGAAGGGATGGAATGAGGTGAAAACGGCCCATGGAGGGAGGCATTGGAGCTATCTGCACGGATCATCCGCTGGCACTGGCTTGTTCGTTCCGCCTTTGCGTCGGTTTCTTACAAGTCTTACCGCATCCCTACCAGTGAGGCCATATTCTATTCATCCCTGGACACGATCATCGCCCTCTCCTTGGCCCTCTTCGTCAACGCGGCCATCCTTATCGTCGCAGCTGCCGCTTTTTTTGATCCCAGTGGTTCCACTCAGGATGCTCCTTCGGTATCGGAAGCCTACGATTTACTGGCACCTGTGCTAGGTAAGAAAGTTCCGGAGTTAGGAGAGGGATATATTTTTTAATTTTTCCTGGTGGTTGGCTCTTAAAATGGGATGAACGAATGTAAGACTGCGAAATTCTGCATGAGAAGGGAAGGAAGAAGATAAAGAAAGGCGGTCCTGCTTCTTACACATCCTTGATGCGCTTTTTTTGAATTCCCTTTCCAACAGGCAACAAAGCTGCGTCCATTCTCTTTGGAGTTGCCCTCCTCGCGTCGGGTCAGAACAGTACATTGACCGGCACATTGGCAGGGCAAATTGTAATGGAGGGCTTCGTGCAGGTATTAGCTTGACCAATTGACAACATCCAGAAGATATTCTTTCCCTGAAAGATCATTTGTCGTGCGCAGTGCTTGGTCGTGTTACCACTTTGCCTGCTATCAATGTCAATAATCTCTCCCCTCTTTATCTTTTTATTGTATACTCATAAGGTACGCTTGAAACCCTGGCTTCGTCGCCTGATCACACGCCTGGTGGTGATCGTCCCCGCTGTGTTCACTGTGGTGTTGGCAGGCGACAAAGGAGTAGACTTCCTTCTCGTCCTCTCGCAGGTAAATGGCCGAAGAATGTTCCGCGAGACTGAAGGGGTGGAGAATGAAGATGGGCCAAGCGCAAAGAGAGCTTTTTGGATCGGAAATTATCATAGTGTCAAAATACATAGTGATGACCCGAGCTGACACATCATATGTATTGTGCCACTTCAGGTTATACTGTCGTTCCAACTCTCCTTCGCAGTTTTCCCGCTCGTTATGTTCACTAGCGATGTCTCCGTCATGGGTACAGAGTTTGTAAATTCCCCATCGACTTCCTTTCTGGCCTGGGTCTCTGCCATTCTTATAGCCGCTTTGAACATATGGTTGTTGGTCATGACAGTTGGACAAGGTAGTATCCCTGCTTAATTGGCCAACGGCGAGAAAGTGTATTTGCAGTAATCTAGTCATGATATTCATGATCGTGTGAAGCGAGAACCAGTAGTGGTAGCTGTTCTCTTAATTAGAGCTCATTTGGTCTTTCGGTGGCTATCGACTAAAAGGGCAAAGTAAAATAGTTTGGAAATCACTGTTGAACGTGCCAATGTGCATTCAAAGGCATGTTAAGATACCTCGAAAATCGAAAGAAAAGAAGCAAGAGGAAAGTTGGGATCAGGAAGTGACCTGTATGTGTTTCACATCCTATAAAGTATATACCCCAAGGAGTCTGCTAGCGCCAGACATCGAGCACAAATTAGTTAAGAAACCATATAATGTTATCTTTTCTCCTCTTAAAGAGTAAGAAAAGTTCCTTGGAAGAGCTGGAGAGGGCCATAGACTTAATTATTGAAGATAGAGAAGGCAAACATAGAATAATATTTCAAGACAGCTGGATCTAGAATGTGAAAATTGGAGAAAGTGAGAGTGTTTTTCAGTAGAAAATGCTTTGATACAGGGTCATAAGAATTCGTTCCTGCATGATCCAAATCAAGCAATGGTTTTAATGTTGACGCATACGCAGGCAAGCTGATCAATGTTCTTCTTTTCAATTGAAATCCGCTCGATAAATGGCATGGGCTATGTCCTAGCCATCGCAAGTCTGCCTTTCTCCTCGACCTTTTATCCACAGAACTGGTGGAATAGCAGACCTTTTCGATTCGTTCGTTGCTAAGTAGAAGGCGACTACCGTTAGAAGTCTAATGCACAAAACGTTTTCTACAAAATCATTCCTTTCAGATGTTCCAGTCTAACGTGTTGAGGGGGGACCCACAGGCTTCGGCGGGGCTGGTTTGCCTTGGTCGATCATCCGCC